ATTTGGACACTTAAATAAAAACAGAGGGAGTATATGCATATCATTCTTTATTTTCAATTGTCATTTATTAATCCCTCTATTTTTATTTAAGTGATTTATTTTGACTAGACACATATGCCGATGTAGAACTTTGATTAATATTCTCTCTATTCTAAAATAATTGACATGGTCAAACTTGACACATGTCAATGTATTAGTTTGACCTTAAATATATATAATTAAATATTAATCTTTCCAAGGTCACATTTGTTTTGAGAAAATGATGGTAATATGTGGGATCATTGAAAGGTGAGATTGTTTCAACAGATCAATAACAAGTGAGATTATTAGTTTTAATTTTTCCATTTAAGAATTTAAGACATAAACACGCTCGTATAGTATTGTAGTTAATATCTATTTTTTCAAAAAAAAAATTTCTTTAGCGTTAAATTGTTAATACCATGATATGGTGATGCTCTAAATTTTTTTAGTAGAGTTGGCCCTGTTCACTTCACCTTATTTTTGCTGAACTGAAATTATTTTTCTGAACTGAAATTATTTTGCTGAACTGAAATTATTTTTACTGAACTGAAATTATTTTTACTAATTTTCTGTTATATTTGTTCTTTAAAATTACTGATTTTTACAGAACTGAAATTATTTTTACTAAACTGAACTTATTTTTACAAAACTGAAATTATTTTTGCTGAACTGAAATTATTTTTTCTAGTGTGAAGTGAACAGGGCCTTACAACAAACAATACACGTACATATGTAACAAAATGGGCCCGAATTGCAAACAAACCAGAGCTTTTTCTTCAGGACACCTTTAATGGGCCGAGTAGTCATTTTGAAGACCCGTTTACTCGTTTAGTTGGACTACGCATTTTATACCCAATGAAGAAAAACTTCAATTAATCTATGACGCTCTTGTAAGTCTGGTTAAATCCCAAACAAAAGAAATTACGAAGAATTAAAAATCAAAATCATTGTAATTGTGGCCATTTTCATGAAAATACATTCAATTTGTTCAAAGAAAAGGGTTAATCAGGTCAGTCGTATACTTCTACATAGATTTGCTATGTTTATTTTTTATTTTTTTGTTTTTTGTCTTAATGTATGATTAACTATTTAAATGTTGCAAATAAACTATACGCTGAAAGAATTAATGACCAATTTTGTAAATAAGTTATAGATATTATTATTCCTTAATTTTTTTTGAATGAAGTAAGTATTCCTTAATTTTGTTAAACCTAGAGTATATCTAGTCTAAAATGTTTCAATACAAGTTTATACTGGAGTAATTGTTAATAATATGCTAAGTTGGATTATGATTTTGGCCTTGTGTTATTGTGTGTGATGTTTTGTCAATCTAGAAAATCTTATACGAAGTACATTTCATGATGTCAACATTGAGGATATGTTACGGTGTTATACATTTATACCCAGGCACACGGTGCAACATGTGTAAATAAATTAATGTTCTGTGACTTTGAATGTATGTTATATCCGGATGTATGATAGAATTTGTCAGGTTATTGCCTAAACTAACGTGGGATGAATTTGCTTAAAGATGAAGACATGGTATTATGACATTATGTGGATGCTTATGGGAGATTAAAAAAGTTTTGAATATAGGTTTTGACGATTTTCGCAATTACGAGGGAATTTGGATTATTTCTAGACTGAATTGGGGATTTATGCGAAAGAGTAGAAGTAATCCAATGCTAGAGTTGATCATACAATAGGACTGCGAAATTTTCTCAAATCCGACCGAGGTGATCAACATATTTTAGATCTATGAAGTATGATGTATAAAATAACTAGATCACTAAAGTGTAGGTTTTGAGCTGTTGGAAATCTTGGCATCTCAAAGGTATATAAATTGGCTGTTCAAGAAATATCAGGGTGATTTGATGCTAAATGGAGTTTTATATGTAATTTAAGATTCACTAATCTTTATCCAAAATCATGTAATTTCAGGAAGTTTAAGGAATAAATTATGATGACTTTGATCTAATTAAATATAGATGGTTATTAACAAGTGAAGAGAATTTGTTCTTTAATCTAAACTTGAAGGATACACACCATAATATAATAAGAGTAGGGTCAATTACCACTTTTTTTTATGAACTGTTTTATTCTTAGGTGCAAGTGGATCAACAGTCTACTTTGATATATTTGTACTATCTTCTTGAATAAGCAGATTTATGTCAGGAATTAGAGATAAGCACACAAGCAGTTAAAGCACTGTACATGTAACAACAATATGCAGCTTTACTCTCGTTTTTCTTGGGCCTAAAAGAGTGTCCAAATAACATTGCTGTATCATAGAATTAAAAAAGAAACATGTTAATTTCTTAGAACCCTTTTCTGTTTGTTCTCCTTTAAATTCGGATTTACTGATTCGTAATTGATTGCATTAACCAAACGTAAATTGTATCCGAAAGTTCATGTCTTGAGTTGGAGTCGTTATGAATTGACCCTAAATTAATGTGGCTAATCAATTCATCATAATAAGCTGATTGACAAAATGTTAATGATCAATGATAGGTTGGAGTATCACTGACAATTGTTTTGATGACTTCGAAGACAAACTTGGAGTTTCTCATAGGTACGTGAGTTAACCTGAATAGATATGTGTAGATGGGCTAAAAATCAAACTGAATGACTCATCACAATCAAATTTGAGTGAATCTGATTCCAATGGCCCGGGCTATATCTATTGTATAACCAATAATATGCCTCTAGCTCTCTCCAACAAGTGTTTATCATGTTTAATAGTTAACATATTAGTACCTTTCCGATAATGAAGAATGTCGTACATTCTCCTTTATTTATTCTTTTGAGAAAGAAAAACTTGTTGTTGGCATATTGGGATAAGGTTTACTAAACAGAATATGCCATTGTCATGCAAAGAAGTGACAATTACTATGTCTTCCCATAAACAAATCAATTTATGGTCTAATAAATTGCTTACATTTTTTTACATAATTTGGTGTCACTTCCAATTAGGCTATTTAGCATTCAAAGTTCAAACTGATTATTATTGTCTGACACATTTACTTCTTATTCTTTTGTTCCTCACTTAAGCAGCATGAATATCTTGAAACATCAGATGAACTCTAGACATTTTCTTACAGGATAATAAGAACATCTGGTTTATGCTTTATGCTTTTGTTATTCTTAAGAGTTTCTCTACAATTCCAATCTATTATCATTCATAAATCTAAATTAACCATATGTTTCTTGTCGTGTCTTCAATATCTTTCCTCCTTCTGTTAGGCACTTACGCAGTATGAGTGACATTCATTGGATTGTCAGAAGACCATTTTCAACCTTTCCTTAGATTCTAAAGCAAAGGTCTCTATACACTTAGGCACTGGATCTCTACTTTATTGGATGAATATAGGTTTACCAGAGCATCTTATTAGGTGGGTCAAACAATAATTGTATGAAGGTGTCCGAAAGCATGACCTTATTCATCCTAAGCTTTGGGTCGCGTTCAACTTGCCACATCTTTAACAACTAATGTGGCTCAACTGTTTGGAATGTGTACATATATGGCGAAAATTACAGCTCCATTTTGTTGCTTCAATTATTCTTTTTTTAGATATGTTTCCGTGTTCTAATATACTTGTGTAGTGTGGCTTCAGTAACATGAACAGCCGCTTTAATTACTGGAGTTTGTTTTTTAACTACTGCAATGATTAGTGTTACTACAGTTTAATTCTAGAGCATGATCAACTGCCTCAATAATTCTAGTATCATGAATCACCACAATTGTTACTAGACTTTGTTTACATGATTACATGAACAAAAAAAGTTTACATTATAACTAGTCTGAAAGTTATGTCTTATTGCTATAAAACCTATGATTCCATATTGCTTCTCAAACCAATACAAATTTGGATCACTTTTGAGTTTTGACCTCAATGTCTTAGTAATATAATATTTAATTTTGTGTTTGACAGTTGTCGCTGAAGCTCCTATTTTTGATGTCTGAACTTGTTGATTATGGCTCATTCCATCTTCATGTATTTTGCATTTATTTTATAAGTTGCAATGCATTATGGCTCATTATCATCCTAGAGTCTTAGATCAGGTTTGTGGTTGAGCCACACATAGTTCTTCTTTTCTCAATCATCAGTTTATGTTAACTTTCTCAATTTTGTTATCAAGATAGTGAATTGGCTTCTATTTCAAATGTTACTTGGCTTGAGTTTGAGCTGTGCTCATATTTTCTGATATGATTAATGAATTTTTTCGCAGTATCTCAGCTCTGCAGTACAAGAAACTGCAGAACCTGACTATTTGACGGGTAAAGTATACTCCGTTTGGGATAAAAAAAAAAAAAAAAAGTTACTTACGATTGCAACTATTTAAGGTACTGCGTGCAAGTCTATCTGCAAATCCCTGAACTTTTTTTTTGTTCTGTCCTGCTTTTAATTAATTTTTCACTTAATAACCACCTTTAGGATGATTTTTTTTCAACTTTATACAGACTTAATATTGGTGTCAAGTTAAGAGAAAGGTAAAGTTAGTTTTGTTGAACCAGCTTTTATTTTGAGTTGCTTCATCCTGTAAGTTTCCAAGGGAATGATATGAAAGAACAATTACCTAAAAACGAACTTTATAAAGATAGGTCCAAGGAACTGTGGAGGTTTCCATGAATTAAAGCATAAAAGGAGTCTTCGAACTTTTTTCATACAACGAGTCATCATATCAGAATCCCATCAATTATAACTAGACTTGTTGAATTGACTCGTACTTGATTACCCGATCAATACTTAAATTCTACCCAAAATTGGGTATTGGGTATTGACAATTGACAGTTGAAATAGTTAGAGTTCAGCACTTACATGTATCTGTGTTCAACACGAGGACCTGAGCCCAAGTAACATAGCTTGCTGATAGTCTATGTGCGGTTTTAAAGATAAAATATGTTCCATAACTTCAATATGTACATTTATTAAAAGTATCAACAATGTATACAAGTAGTAATACAACATTGCATGAAGTCAAACAAATAGCTTGGTTTAATCATTAGTATGCATCATACTAAATAGGTTCCTAATTCCTAAGCCCCTTTTGATGTATATTATGGCTAAATACATTAAGATATCCTTGAAAGGAATGTTTAAGCTTTAAACCACTAATCAACTGTACTGTCACTCTCATAATTACAGTTTTCTGAGGTGACAAAACAATAACACTCAATTATAATGCTTTTTAGTTTTTAATTAGTAAGCATGTTTTCTTGCTACATGTACAACATCTCTGTTCATTCTTCCAAATCTTGCTTTTATAAAGGTTTTAGAGATATTGTAGATTTTTTGATATGTGTCATGAGAAGGGTATAGACTTTTGAAAAATTCTGTGTCCTGGTGCAAGAATGGCCAAAGGATCATAAGTAGATTTTCTTTGTTTGAAGATTTCCCATCTAGGACCAAAGTGATCTTTCCACTCTTCCTGTGTGCTGTAGTGGGGCAGATACTGCTTGACACCTAGTCGCCCTGATTCGCAGAAATCTAGAATCCTTTTGTTCTGACTCAAGATATGGTCTAAGCCGTCACTTCCTGTCGAAGAAGGTACTGCTGAGGATAGAAATGCCACCAAGTAAAAGATATCCTCTTCTGGAATAACAACTGAAGTTCTGTTGTCCCACCTACGAAAAATAAACATAAATTTTAGTCATGTACTTATTTTGAGTCATATAATTGCTATTTGCTAATCACTAAATGTTGAAGAAATCAATTAGTAGGTAGTAGTGTAGTACTTGGATTTATTTACTGGATATATAAGAATGGGGCCATTGCTTGTGTCCTTAAGAATGTTTCCGAACACTTGGCCTGCGAATCTGTGGATGCTGCTCTTAGGGATTAGGAGATTGAGCCATGGGTGTGGCACTTCCCATAAACCCTTTGATCGCAGTTTGATCTCAGACACATGAACTCGATCTAAAAAGTCGATGTATGAGACTTCTGCTATAAAAAGAGTAGATGAGATGTAGCTTAGTTGTGAAAGTAAGAGCCTGATTTCCTGCACCAAGAAAAAATATAATTAGAAATGGGAAGACTTAGTTTAAGCCATGTAATATATGCTGATAATACTACTGTTATACTGCCAATAGAATAGCTGGTTTTACCTGGTCTGCAAGATCAGCTTCCTCATGCTTAAAATATTTTGCCATTTCTAAGCAGTAAAGTGTTTTCCCATCCGAACTGAATTGACTAGCTTGAACTGGATCTTGTGGACTGAAAGATGTTCTCCAGTTATTTAGAAGACCTGTTCTGTTTATTATGACGAAACCTTCAATGTAATCAAATGTTTCCTTTGCTGCTATGAGCTGTTCTTGCTCTCTGACGAATGTGTCGAAGTCTGAATACAGAACTCTGATCCATTTCACCTACATAAGCAGATCTTCTGTTAGTTAGCTAGCTAGAAAGATTTTGTTCTTCATACATTAAAAACTTCTCCCTCCTGGAAACAATAGTCGATATTGGAATTTTAGGCTGTTCTAGAAAATATAGGACTATGCCACTTTCTAAATTTAGTAAGTTAAATTTCGAACTTTCCCATGTTACCTTAGATGACAATGTTAGATAGAGGGTGAAGTATATACCTTATTGGGGGCGGATTCGAGAGAAATTCTAGCTCGAGTGATGATGCCAAATTGTCCAAGTCCTCCAAGAACACTGTGAAAGAGTTCTGCATTTTGGTTCTTGGAACAGTTCACCACTTCTCCTTTACCTGCATTAAGTCATCTTCCAATAAGTTCTAGTATGAGCATAATTATTACTAATAATAGTGGGGGCTTATCGCTTATTTCTATTTCAGGATAAGAAGGATCAAGCTGCAACAAGAGGCCAGGTGTGATTAATAACTTTTTAAAGTCTAATTTCAGATAACAGCATAATTATGTAGGACAAAGTCCAAACAAATTATCTAATGTGTTTGCCAATGTTTTTCTTACAAGTGTAATCTTTACTTTTTCTAAAGAAAAAGAAAAATGAAAGATAAAAAATAAAAATTATAATCATGTTGATTTTGATGGATTTTGGGATTCAAACACACCTGTAACAACCTGAAGTTGGTGGACATTGCTAATCTGTGGACCGTGTCGAAAAGCCTGTCCACTAACACCAGCATTGGACAAAGTACCTCCAACTGAAAGATGAAGATAATCTGTCCAAGATTTTGGTGTTAACCCATATTTCAGAGTCTCATGCAGGATGTTAATCCAGAGTTCACCTCCTGAAACATCAACATAAGGCTGGACAAGTCCATTTCGGACTACTTGTATTGGATGATGAACTCGAATCGATCCCATATCAATCACGATACCTTGGTGGGCTTGGGATTGGCCTTGAAGCGAATGGCCACAGCCTCTTGCTGCTACTGTAAGGTCAGAACTCTGTCCCATTTTCCAAACATGTTTTATTGTTTTGGCTATGTCAGAAACTGACTTTGGGTGAAGAACTGCTAGAGGGTGGAACTGATATCTGTTGCCAAAATCGCGGGCTGCATGGTTTATCTCTTCGAAGCTAAGTCGACCTTCGAGTGGAAGAACATCTAAGGGTAGAAGAGGAGTGGCCATAGTAGTGCTTATGAACAAGATCATGAAGCATTTCTTATGGTAAAAACTACTAGAATTAGTAAGGTAAGGCTTCATTTTGTTGTGTGTTTCACGACTCGTATATCGAAAACTTACGAATTTTGGATGTTTAGAGATTGCAAGATGAACACGAAGATGAAAGGTATTTGTTTTATAGCAAGATTTTAGGGTAAGAGATACCAAAAAAATGAAGGGAATTTAAAGGTGATGTTGGGTGCCTCAGTCAACTTCTCTTTCTTTCTTACCGTATGGAGACTGCCAACTTCATTGGTGGAAAGAGTTTTATTTTTTTATTTTTTAAAAATAAATTTATAAGATTTTCTCTCTTTCTATGTTGATAGATTTTAGTGTAAGATGCTATCGAATGTGCAATTTACAATTTTATTAAGAGGAAACAGGCCACAACAAAATAAAGATATTCACCAAATCTGTTATCAAACGCTTTTTCCCAACAGTATCCAGCACAAAGGCCATCCTTTTCTCCTTAGTGGGATTATTTATGATGTACGACGTACCCCTCTGTTCTCAAATAATCTTTCTCATGTACGCGTATATTAAAGAATTTAATGGGATGGGTGACAGTGTAAGTGAGAACATTTTCCAATTTGAATAATGGAAATGTTTTTTGTGCACATTCTAAAAAGGAATATAGGAAGATTATTTGTGGAAAGAGTGATTAACTAGTATCCTTTATCGTGAAGTAGTGTGGAAATAGTATATTCATATTGTTCAAACATACTATAATAAAGAATCAACCAATATTTTACTGTTATACCTTTTCTAAGATTGGCTCATTTCATCATATGATTCATATCAACTCCATAAGACCACAAATTCAAATCTTTTGCCCCATTTCTATGTAGTATACTTTTTTTATTATTAAACTAGAAATGGTCCAAAAATAAAAGCAGTTGGGGTTAGTTGTCTAACAATAGAATGAGCTTAACATGGTCAAAACTACTTTTAAATCTATATATATATAAACCCCATATAGGTTATTTGAAAATTGCACCTCAAACTTGCAGTTCGAATGACAGCAATGTGATCTAAACTCATCCACCTAATTAAAACAACATAAATACATCTTCTTAACTCGAAACTTGGCCGGCTCAAACATTACATATATGTCTCCGTTCTCTTTGAACAATAACGTAAGACTTTTAGTATACTTTTCATGAAAGATAAAGGATATTCCTCAAATGAGACCGACTTGATTCCCAGGCTCCCAGCTCACAATGTGAGATAGGAATTGAATGATACGATCAATACCGCTATTTCACCACCTCAATCTCGTGTAGTTTGTGTATATAGTGCCAAAATTGCCAATGTTGTTAATTAATTTGCATGGAATAAAATCATATAAATGGCATTGAATTGTTGTAGGTGTTGGACATTGAGTGGACAAATCTAATCAAAAGACATGATGAGAAGGAAAATAGAGATAGTGAATAGATGTTGGGTTTGATGAGAAAGAGCAATCGAGGAGGTACAAAAATGGGTCCATAGGACATGTGAAGATCAAATGGGCTAGTTTTAATAGGGTGCTAGGATGGGGTGAAAACGTACCCATTTGTGGCCCTTTTTTCTTGTGTAAGATAGGACACTTTGAAGAAAAATATTGCCAAAATTTTATTATTAATTAATTTGATTTGAAGCTTTAAGTCCCAACAACTAGACAATATCAAATGATTCTTTAATTTTTCATTATGTAATAACTCTGCTCATGTTCAATGCATTACTTTTATTCCAATTTTTGTCATTACTTGTTGCTTCTATATAAATTGGGTTTTGTTTACCTTATTTCAAGTTCAATAAATTCATATAAGATTTAATAAGTTGTTGCTATTGTTATATTTTTTTCTAGTGGATTTTTAGAGAATGATTTAAACATTTATTTCAAAATAAATAAATTCATATAAGGGTTAATATGATGATTATTCAAAGTTAATATTGAATCTCCTTTATGTAGTCTAGTGTCTTACAAAGGCATCTCCTATGTATTTGTCAAACATTTCAACAAGTTGATTTGTGAAAGTGGCAATGAGCATCATCATTCAAGGCAACTTGGACAATGTCATCAAAGCACATTCCCTCTATGTTGCTAACATGTATTCATAATTATTGGTTGTATTAGCAACAACTTTCCACAAAGGCTTCATTCTAGCCATTAAAACACGACAAAAAAAAAAAAAAAAAAAAACAAACTTATATTGAGGGCGATAATATCATCATTATCAAGTTTGCCCAAGGTTATTGGAATCTAAATTTTGCAGGGAAGATTGACCACTGATATCATCTCTGACACATTTTCTAAGAAGCAAATCAAGCAACAAATTAATTAACTTGCAAATGTTAGACACTTGGTCATTGATTATTTAGATATTGTACTTCGTGATTAAGAACTTTATTACTTTAAAGCTGATGCATTAAATGTTCTGCTCAAAATAAAGGAGAATTTGTTGAAAAAAAGATGAAAACTATCATTATATTCAACGTGTTAATGCAGGAAGCCCTAATTTCTCAATTGAGAAACGGTGACTGTTTCTCAAATGCCAATTTTGCAATTATTACAGTGGACCCCTTTGCTGACTGTATGTGAGAAAGTAGATGTAATTTATGCACAGCTCCGTGAGCTTGTTGTCTCCTTCCTCCCTTCCTTTTTCTTCCTTCCTCAACAAACAACAATGGTGGATTCCACTAAACACCACAACAAGCACCATCCTCACCAATACCAACACCACAACAAAACCCCCAATCCCAACAACACCATTTTCGGCGGCTTCGCCACCGATTTTAACGAAAAAGCCCTTAAAAATATATATAAATTAATGGTATGGTGAACCCCAAAGGGTAGGTGTTTTGTCGTTTGCTTGTTAGCTTCCCTTCTCCATTGTTAGTTTCCCTTCTCCATTGATTTAGGTAATTAAGCTCGAACTTGGAGGGATTTGGGTAGCTTTTAGACTTCAACAGAGTTAATACCATTGAGTTAACGCCATCAAACATTGCAATTCAACGTTTCCATCCTGATGGACAAAAATGCCCATTCTTTTCCACGCGAAATGACGCTCGTGCCCTTTTGAGAAACATACATTTCTCATGTTGAGAAACTTGTATTTTCTCCTTTTTTTCGTATGTTTATAAGAAAAAAATCTATAACATATAGGGAGTATAAATTGTTCAAACAAAAATGAATTATTCTAAAAAAGTGAACATGATCATAAATTCTTGAAACAGGAAATATTAGAATGCATGCACTAAGTACATACCTACAATAAGAGAGAAGTTGATTGTTCTTTGGCTCCACATGAATACATTTCTCTTATAAAAACTCTACTAAACACTATAGCTATAGGTACAATAATCAAGTCAAAATTATACTTTTATTTTAGATAGTGGATTCATTTATATAGTATTATTTTATAACGTGCATGAGACATGTGAAACAAGAGTCTATAAACATGGTATGGAGGACTATTATACATTATTTATACTATACTTCTACTACGTACGACAATACACAATTGTTGGATTGAAATGACTTCAATTATACCAATTCTTGAATACGCCATCAGAGATGACCTTGATTTAATCATAAACTTCAATTGGTGAAAAAATAAGATTGAACCAGGCAACAAAGCCAAATCATGTATGGATTAACATAAAATAAGACTTAATTTGAAATCGTTATGATAAGGATGCAATTTATTGTCTTCGTTTCTTTTTAGTTGTAACAAAAGGATATTATTTATTGATTTCGATTTTAGCTATGAGATTACTGCCTTCATATAAGAGTCCTTAATTATCAAAAAATAATTCAGATGCAATGTTGTTATCATTCTATTCCATCAGGTATATACTAATCATAATTAATTATGCATAATTATTAACTATTCAAATAATTAATCATGCATAATAATTTTGGAATGCCACTTGGTAGGCATAGATTAGACATAATACAAAGACATGTAAAAAATCAAATTGGTCTAGTTATTTTCTATTGGAGACGAGAATTAATGGCTTAAATAAGACAAACTAGGGGTGTTAAAAGGTGACAAGAGCTGATCTTAGGATGCTTAATTAAAATCTTTATATGGTTTTATTTAATGATCAAATCAATTAGTACTGTATTTAATCTTGTTAATTAGCAAATTAAAACGCCCAAGAACAAGATTGCTCTTATCTTGTTCCCCATCGCACTTCCAAGCTATTCTTGTCACTGCTTTTTTGCCTCATGTTTCCAAGCAAACCCAATTTTATTGGTTAGATTAATAAAAAATTGCAAATCAAGTGACGTTTTCATAGATAAGTCAGCAATTTATTACGAAGAAAATGTAAATAAACTGTTAAATGGGGTTAGATCGCATCCGTCACGGGAGTCTATTTTGTACTAGTCCTAGGAGGTTACATCTCAAAACCAGATGGTAATGAGCTAAGGGGTAGTAGCCCCTTGCTTTAACTCAAAACCAAATTGAACACAACTTTCTTGTTTATTTAATATTGGATACACATTCCAACAAGGTATGGCAACAGAGCGGACTTGGACAAGGTCTTTATGTCCCAGATCCAAATCCGTTTTTCTAATTAGTTGGATCTAGATTCGATCCAGATTTGTTGGGTATAGGAATTGGGATTTCATATTTAAGTCCAATAGGTCCTACGGATCCAAGTAAAAAATGGATCCTATTTATTTCTAAATTTCCCAATATTAAAACTCAAAAATAATATAAATTTTTGATAACCCAAAAACACATAGCCATATCAAATTTAGATAGATAAGTATCTCTATTTCAGAATAATTGACAAAATTTGAGTTTTTTGCACTTTTCATGTGTTAGCTTTGACGATACATTTATACTAATATATTTTATCATATAAAATATTGTCAATTATATATTAACATAAACTTTCATAATATTAAATTTTCAATAACTTTTATGAAAGTATAGTTTACATATAAGTTATTATGGAATGTATACAATAAAGTTCATAATGCACATTAAAAACTATATATGAAGTCTAAATAAGTCGAACTTTCAAATTTGATAAACCTCATGTTATCCTTTTATTTCATACATTATTATTTTAATTTTTTTTCCCTTTTGAGGGATAAATAAGCTTTTATAATTTTCATATCAATCATTTTCTTTTTAAACAAATTAAATGTCTGCCACGTGTACATTCTAGTTTTGTAAAATAAGACCCTCTTAAAACTTTTATTAAGTGCTTGTTTGCCAAGTATCAATGTATCACCCACTCACCCAGACACCCACTTTATAAAAACGACTCTTTCCCTAAAAGCCCTAATTCATCACTTCATGACATTGTACATTGCATATAATCCAACACAAACTATATAAATATTATGTCATTTTATTAATTGCCAACGTGGAAACAACGTGTAAAATCAAATTATAGAAATCGTTTCATTAAA